GTCTTAAAAGAGCAACACTCTGATGCGGAAACTACAGAACTCAAACCACCAAAAAAGAAAATCAACCTTCTGCTGGTAGCATCTGACTCAGATAATGAAAATGAACATGCGTTGGTCCGCACTGCTTTCGATTGTTATCAAGCAGAACCCTTCATCAGCATGGACGCATATCCCCTGGAATGGTGGTTGAAGCATGAAGGGACATATGAATCTTTAGCGCATCTGGCACGTAAATATCTTGCGACACCGGCTACAACTGTGCCATGAGAACACCTGTTCTCACTTTCAGGTGACATTGTAAACAAGAAGTGTGCAACATTGTCTCCTGCAAATGTAAACAAACTTGTTTGAGCGATTAGCTGAACAAGTAGCACTGAGTGGACTTGTAGGGTCTAAAATTTTACATTTGTTTTATTTTTGAATGCAGTTTTTTGGTACATAATTCTACCTTTGTAAGTTCAACTTTCACGAGAAAGATTGTACTAGAGTACTTGTATTAGATGAATTGAAAAATACTATTTCTTTTGTTTTTTTGCAGTGCAAATATTTGTAATAAAAATAAATATAAAGTGAGCACTCTACACTTTGTATAATGTATTGTAATTGAAATCAATATATTTGAAAATGTTGAAAACATCCAAAATATTTAAATAAATGGTATTTTATTATTAATAGTGCAATTAATTGTGTGATTAATCGCAAATAATTTTTTAATCACTTGACAGCCCTATTCATAAGAATTGGCTGTAAGCATGTATTTGGGTGAGATCTGAAATATTCATTGACTTGGTGGGCAATGTGTCCGGTCCCTTGGATTTGGTAGAACTTTAAGTATGCTGAATAAGATTTTTAATAATATTTCACTCTACTAAACTTTCTGTCTGGATGGGAGCTAAAAGCTGGATTGCTTAAAGGGGACTGTAGTTTGGATTCTTGGTAACCAGTGTGGTAATACAGAAGCTGTTTGGTTACTGGCTTGGTGAATCTAATTATAGAATAAACCACCAATATTTGGGGATTGTCTGCCCTATTCCTTGCAGTTTGCCCTAAATAAGCATTCTCAGTGTGGCCCCTCTGGGCTGTACGTCACATTTGTCTTGTGAGGTATCATTTGAAAACGCATAATTTGCTGATTGGTATCATCCTGATAAAATATGTGTGGCAACATTGTATATGAAGTTATAAGATTCTGCTGTATGGGGTTAACACATGTTCCAAACTGAGGTTGGCAAACAGGTCTGTCTTAAACAATGGAATGGGTGGCCTGCTTAATTTGCATTTAAGCAGTAAACAGAGTAATCAAGCAAGAAGGGAAACAAAGGAAGCTCAAACAGGTGATAAAAAGCAGCATGGAACATCCTTCCACACAGACATTTTGTCTCCTGGCACCCAGCTGGAAACGTTTTTCGAGAGGGAATTAAACTATAAAAAGGAGGGACAAACAGCCCGAGGGACCTCCTTCTTTCTCCCTGCCCATTGCATTCATTGAACCTTTGTTGGGCTCTGGGAGAAGGGGTCCTGACCTATGAAGTTTGGTCAGTAAGACTACTGAAAGCATGTGGTGAGAAAACTTTGCTTTGAATTTAACAGTTTAAACACGAGTTGTTTTATTTTTCTTGTTACCATTTCTGACTTTTATGCCTCATTGTACTCACTTAAAATTTCTCTGTTTGGAGTTAATAAACTTGTTTTACTGTTTTATCTAATCCAGTGTATTTAAATTGAAGTATCTGAAAAAATATTTGAAATAAGTTGGCATATTATTTTTACAGAAATAACATACCTAACATACTTTGTATTGTCCAGGAGAGGGATGGGCAATACAGGACCAGGTGTGTGTTGGGGTCACCCTGCAGTATAACTAAGGCTGGTGAGAGCCAGACTGTAACCCAGCTGTGGCTGGCAGGCTTCAGTTTCACAGATACTCAGGGTATGGCTTGCATGCTGGAAGGTGTTTGTGAATGACCGAAGTGGGAGCTACTTCAGCAAGGCATCCAAAGATGCAGGGCAGGGGTGACACAGCTGCTCATTAATCTAGATTGTACCCTGGTATGTCACAATCTGAGTGAAATGTATGTTCAAGAAGGAACTAGGGGTAATAAGCAATGAAGATGATACCACACCTACAAGGAAGCCTTTGCCTTTCCACACTCTTCTAGACACATTGATCTAATATCTGACATTCAGTAGTTCCAATGGGGAGAATCTAAAAAAGGACGAGGCTGGAGTCACTTGCAGTAGAGTAAGCAGACTTGCATTGGGACTAATACAGTATTATCAGTATTTGTAAAGTTTGCCTTGTCAGTTACATTTGTATGGTATGTTTCCACATTTGGAGAGGATGGCAGTATGACCCTGTATGGAATCTGGGGAACACTTTAGGATATTATGAATACCCCTATTGTAAAATTGCAATGAGTTGTGCCAGATGTGCCATGTAAGGTATCTGCAAAAATGTTATACTTGCTAAGTATGATAATCATGTTTGTATGTTCTTTGTATTGTAAATTATAAATATGTATGGTAGGTCTGTAGTTCCAAACTTGTGCTGTGCATCTGGGTGACACCCCCGGACAGATTGGCATCAGCACTGCCTAGGCTGCTTGATGGCCCATCAAGGGACATCAACTGTACAATGAACCCATTGAAAGGGTCAGGGACTACATCTTATGACTCAGCAAGACATGCAAGGACATGCCTATGGAGAGAACTCTAAGGCCTTTCAATGCCATTTTCAAGAATGAGATTAGGGAAAATACATCTTGACAATGTCAAAAATTGTTTTGTTGAGAAGCTCTAATAAACAGCTTCATGTTTTGGAACAGGGAGTTGAAAGCTGGTGAGGGGCAGTCACCCTGCTGTCAGATATGCCTTTTGCCATCCCTGTGAAAATGTACCAAAATCTGGACATGCTACAAGTTTTGTAGCTCTTTGCAGTCTGCCTGGGTCTTAACTATCATTAGTAATTTTGTATCATCTACAAATTTTGCCACCTCACTGTTGACCCCTTTTTCCAGATCATTTATGAATACGTTGAATAGGACTGGTCCCAGAACAGACCCCTGGGGGACACCACTATTTACCTCTCTCCATTCTGAAAACTGACCATTTATACCTAGCCTTTGTTTCCTATCTTTTAATCCGTTACCAATCCATGAGAGCACCTTCCCTCTTATTGTCAAAGGCTTTCTGAAAATCTAAGTACACTATATCCACTAGATCCCCTTGGTCCATAGGCTTGTTGACCCCCTCAAAGAATTCTAGGAGATTGGTGAGGCATGATTTCCCTTTACAAAAACCATGTTGACTCTTCCTCAACAAATTATGTTCATCTATATGTCTGACAATATTGTTCTTTATTATAGTTTCAACCAGTTTGCCTGGTACTGAAGTCAGGCTTACAGGCCTGTAATTGCCAGGATCACCTCTGGAGCCCATTTTAAAAATTGGCGTCACCTTAGCTATCCTCCAGTCATCTGGTACAGAAGCTGATTTAAATGATAGGTTACTGAGTACAGTTAGTAGTTCTGCAATTTCACATTTGAGTTCCTTCAGAACTCCTGGGTGAATACCATCTGGTCCTGGTGACTTATTATTGTTTAATTTCTCAATTTGTTCCAAAACCTCCTCTAAGGATACCTCAATTTGGGATAGTTCCTCAGATCTATCACCTATAAAGAATGGCTCAGGTTTGGGAATCTCCCTCACATCCTCAGCCGTGAAGACCGATGCAAAGAATTCATTTAGTTTCTCGCAATGGCTTTATCATCCTTGAGTGCTCCTTTAGCACCTCGATCGTCCAGTGGCTCCACTGGTTGTTCAGCAGGCTTCCTGCTTCTGATGTACTTAAAAAAAAAATTGCTATTTTTTTTTTAGTCTTTGGCTAACTGTTCCTCAAATTCTTTTTTGGCTTTCCAAAGTGTATTTTTACATTTCATTTGCCAGTGTTTATGCTCCTTTCTATTTTCCTCACTAGGATTTAACTTCCACTTTTTAAAGGATGCCTTTTTGCTTCTCACTGCTTCTTTTACTTTGTTGTTTAGCCACTGTGGCTTTTTTGGTTCTCTATGTTTTTTAATTTGGGGTATATATTTAAGTTGAGCCTCTATTACGATGTCTTTAAAAAGTTTCCATGCAGCTTACAGAGATTTCAATTTTGGCACTGTACCCTTTAATTTGTGTTTAACCTCCTCATTTTTGTGTAGTTCCCCTTTCTGAAATTAAATGCTCCAGTGTTGGGCCACTGTGGTGTTTTTCCTGCCACAGGGATATTAAATTTAAATATATTATGGTCACTATTACCAAGCAGTCCAGCTAGATTCACCTCTTGGACCAGATCCTGTGCTCCACTTAGGACTAAATCAAGAATTGCCTCTCTTCTGGTGGGTTCCAGGACCAGATGCTCCAAACAGTCATTTAAGGTGTCAAGAAACTTTATCTCTGCATCCCGCCCTGAGGTGACATGTACCCAGTCAATATGAGGATAATTGAAATCCCCCATTATTATTATTGAGTTTTTATTTTAATAGCCTCTCTAATCTCCCTGAGCATTTCACAATCACTCTCCAGAGAAAAACAGCTACGGCTACTAACTGATGGTAACTTTATAGAATAAGTCTCTTCAATCTCTTTGCATTTATAAATATTTTAATGAAAACTACTTTTTAGTTTTCTGACTGACCTGAATAAGTTCTTTAAGTGTATTAATGTTAATTTATTTTTATATTAATTTATCATTAGAAAACAGTTTAAAAAACCAAGAGCCCAACATTTTGCATCTCTATTGTTGTTCATCAACGTACAATGTACTCCCTGAAATGTGTCTGAATTCATGCGTTCAATTCTGGTCTTCTGGTTATCTACTCTTTACTCAGTTGATGAACTGGGATAAAATATCATAGGGAATAATTCAGAATAACTAAAAGGAAATATGAAAGTCAAGTGCATGAAAGATCTTTGGTGTGTATATGTAAGATACAGGAACAAGCAACAAGATGCAGTAAAGACTAATTCAAGATTTAATCCACATATGCTCAAATTCATCAACATGTTAGTGAAAGTATCAAAAGTCATACATAATATATGGCAATATTTTTATTTTGTTACAATATATTAGTGGTGCAGCTTTTCCAAATGGGATAATTAAGCTGCAGACAGAGCAATTGCATTAAATCTTAATTCTTCTGGGTCACGTTCCATGAACTTCTTGCAAACTTCTACTGCAGCCTATTTAAAAAAAAGATATGAAAACACACAATTACTACTTATTATATAAAACACACTATTACTAAAAACAAAAAAGCAGTCGGCACATGAATTAAATACAGTATTGTAACTATGATTTACAGCAGTTATGTCCCTCGTGATTCTTTCACTTTCTGCACAAACTTTACCAATGTGTCAAACTGAACTGGAATTAATTTCTGATCTGAGTTGACATTGCTAAATATTACTTGCTGTGCCCAATGTAAGTGTTTTGAACTTCAAGAACTATGATGATTTGTGTAGTTGTTGCAGCTAACAGTCTGGAACATTATGGGTTACATTTCAAAAGTTGAGGCAGTTGGATAATTCTCTCTGCACGTTTGCCTTTAGTGGTACTGCTGCATTCAAAAACTTTTCTCCTTCACCTAAAGATGTCACTGAACTCTTAAGCAACATCACCAGCTTTATATGTTGGGAAAGTGGAAGACTGTAAATAACTCCTGTGTCTAATCTAGACTGAGAGTGCACCACACAGTGCTTGTTCTTTTTGTTAGAAAATATGAGGCATGTGAAGGAATAAAAAAGGAGAATACGCACTCATTTCACACACACTGTGTGTAATTTAAGAAAAAGTGGCTTTGGACAGCTTAAAGAATGCAGCCTGTGTGTCTCCAGCCTCTTGCTTCCCCAAAGGTTATGTAAAGTGACCACAAATTTTAGATCTCTATGCATGGTGTACTCCTGGGGGAATTCTGCACCACTGCGCAATGCAGAATTTTGCAGACATTAATGTTGCGTGTGCAGAATTTTCTTTTCCCCCCACAGAAATGGGCTGCAGAGATGTTAGCCACCACTAGGGGCCACTGGACCCAGCAGAGCCCAGCTCACAAATAGAAGACAAGGATGAGGGGGGAGAGGGTGGGAGCTGGAGGATTCCCAGCAGCAGCAGTTCCCAGTACCCCCTGAAGGAAGGAGGCAGTGGTGCACAGGAAACTCCGTGCAAGCCTGGGACGCAGCATCATCAGGCTGTTTCTCCATCTGGATCCCTAGGGTCTAGGAGAGTAGGCTCTGTGAATGTCTGGGCGCTGGCCTCTAGGGGGTAGGGGATGAGTGTCTGGGCCAGGGAGGGCCCCATGGCTGGGCTCTGGGCGGAAGGGTGTGTGTCTGGCCCCTCATCTGGGCTCTGGGGGAGAGGAGGCAGAGAAGCAGGAACTGGGTTGTCGTAGGGGTTTCTTTAACTCTCTACTCCTGGGGGAATTTGTGTGTGTCTCTGTATTGTTACAGACATACTTGCTGATAGGTATTTTGAAATAAATTACCAAAATAATTGAAATTGGCATGATTATTTTGTGTTATTTTCACAAAATATGCATAATTGCTCAGAATTTTAAAATACTGTGCACAGAATTATTAATTTTGTGGTGCAGAATTCCCCACAGGAGTAGCACATTAAATCAGCAATGGGCAAGTATGTTTAAGACAAAAGAGGTTAGAAGGGAATAGGTAGAATACAAATTTTGGGGGTTGAGAACAAGGGCAAAGACTATAAATGCTGGAAGAGAGAGTGCACCCTTTGTTAGCATGGCATCTCTCAAATTATAAAGGGAAAAAAAATAATATACCTTCACCCAAAAGTCCTCAGAGACTGGTCGTTTCAAGGCTCCCCCATCATGTATGCATGGTTTGAGAGCAGCAGAAGCATAGGAACACCTCAACATGGGAGAAAAAGCAATCTGATCTATGGGCATGGTACCCGTACAAGATTTCTGCTCAAGCAGCTCGTCTGCCATATTAAAATGTTCTGTTACATACAGAAGTAACGGCATAGGTATTCTGAAATACCCCTGGTTGAGAACTAATTAAAGACCTTTTCTTCTTATCTCTTCCCTCACCCAACTACATACCCAGGAAGTGCATAAAGTTCAAGTTGCACAAAAACTTAAAGGATTTTTCTATTCCTACCTCTAAAAAAGTGTCATCACTAGTTTGTCCATGGTTTATTGGAAAAGGTTTGCGCCCATCTGTCGGAATACAAGCAATTATACAAAATATAATTGTAAAACGAAAACTGAAAAGCTTGTCAGACAAGAACATAAACCCAAAGCATTAAATAATTCCCTCCTCATATGAGAACATGCCACCAAGATCAGCTCAGTTTTTCATAAACTTAGCATACTAATTGTAATTCCCAACTATTCAGCACTTTCCCCTCTACACCGAGTATTTCAATAGGATTACAGTATTACAAAGAATTAGTGACAATAAATAATAAAACACTTTTTAGTTGAACATAGATTAAAAAAAACAAACAAAAACAAAAAAAACTTTCAGGCCAAGAGGAAACCTTGAGTTCTAATTATTTTGTTACTGGTAATGTTTAAGTTATTTGGGTTTTCCAAATAGCTCTTTGAAAAAAATGTAGGTTGTTTTTTTTTGGCTAAATGCACTGAAGTTAATTACCTGTACAGAAACTGTTGTTCTTTGAGATGTGTGTGCACATATACATTTCACTTCATGTGTATATGCGCACAATGCACCCCTGCTCTCTTCATGTGCTGAGTCAAGGACATAAAGGGGGCATGTTTACTGCCTCCCTCTCCATTCCTTCACACTTCTGTATATATAATGTCTGAAATAATAGGGAAGTGGAAGGACCATGGAATGTATATGTTACTATACATCTCTAAGAACAACAGTTACTATACAGGTAAGTAACAGTTTATTCTCCTTCAACTGATTGTGCATATATACATTCCACTTAGATGACTCATCAGCAGTTCCCTTACAGGTGACGAGACATTGGATCACCTGAAACAGATTGTAGCACCACCGAAGGCTTGAGTGATGGTAATGTCTGGAAAAAGGTATTGCTGCTTTGCAGATATCCTTTACAGGGATGTTGCTCAGAAAAGCTGATGAAGTAGACTGAGCTTTAGTAAAGCGAGCTATTGTCCTGAGAGAAGGAGGAGGAGATCTTAGGAAAGCTGTAGCACAGCTTAATGCAGTCAGAAACCCAATGAGAAATTTGTTGAGCTGTTACTGTTTGGCCCCTAACTCTCCCATTGTAGGCTACAATAAGCCTGTGAGAGAGGCTGCGAAGGACTTAGTGCAATCCAGACACAATGCTGGAGCTCTGTGAATATCTAAGGTGTGGAGCTTCTCTTCAGCTTCGGAAGAGCGAGATTTTTGAAATAGCACCACAAGACAAATGGTTTGATTCAGGTTGAAAGCTGAAACTGTTTTTGACAAACTTAGAGTATGGCTTATGAGAAACTTTGTCTTTATGAAAAACTGTGAAAGGAAGAGCAGCTAAGAGCATAAAGTTCCCAAACTCTCCTTTGGAGAGGTGATTGCTATTAGGAATGCCGTCTTCATAGACACTAGGGATAGTGAGGCTGTCACCCTAGGTTCAAAGGAAGAACCCATTAGTCTAGAGAAGACTGGGTTAAGATTCCATAAAGGTACTGGATCAGACACATATGGGTAGACATTGGACAAAACTTAAGAAAATCTGGAAGATGGAAAACTCGTCCACTGGTGGATGCAGAGCAGATACTGCTGCCAAGTGGACTCTCACAGAACTAACTGATAGGCCATAGGCCAGAAGATTTCAAGTGTAACAAATAGTCCAATACATGTGAGATCTCTCTGTAACGGGTCAGTAAATGTTGAAATGGTGCCCAAATAGAGCCCCTTCTCCACTTCCGTATGTACGTCGCTCTAGTGGATTCTTTTCTGCTGCTCATCTAGACAACCTGAAGATCTTGGGAGCACAATCTCTTGCGAGCATTCAACCAAAGTTCATCCATAACATGAGGTGAAAAGATTGGAGGTTGGGATGCAGAGACTTGCCTTGGTTCTGAGACTAGGGGCAAAGTTATCAGTGATCTGACTGAAAATTGATGTAGATCAATGAACCAGTACTGCCTCGGTGAGACTGGTTCCAGTAGGATTAACTCTGCGTTGTCTCTCTTCAGTTTCCTAAGCACCTTGGGAACAAGAGGAACTGGAGGGAATGCATATAGGAGATGACTTGATCAGGGGAAGAGGACAGCATCTGTGATGGAATATGGGCTGCAGCCTGTCCTGGACAAAATATCCTGCACTTGTGGTCCAGGTTGGTTGCGAAAAAGTCTATTATTGGGAACTCCCGCTGGTAGAAGATCTGGAGGAGAACGTCCTTTCTGATTGACTACTTGTGTTGATCTATGAAAATCCTGCTGAAGGAATCTGCAATTGTGTTTCTCATTCCTGGAAAGTGGAATAACCTCAGGGAGACATTTCAGATGCATAAATTCCATAGGTGGATGGCTTTCTGGCATAGCTGAGATGACCTTGCACCTCCGTGCCTGTTCAGATAAAACATGGCAGCTGTGTTGTCTGTAAAACTTGTATCACCTGGTTCTTGGTGGTGGACAAACATCTTGCAGGCCTGATAAATAGCTCTGAGGTCCACATGTGGAATGAGACCTCCTGGAGTGAACAGAGAGCCTGTGCTCAAAGTTGACTAAGGGCAGGTCCACACTGGGGCGGGGGATCGATCTAGGAAACGCAACTTCAGCTACGAGAATAGCGTAGCTGAAGTCGACGTTTCCTAGATCGAACTAAATTTACTTACTTCGGGTCCACGCGGCGCAGGTAGGCTCCCCCGTCGACAGCGCTTCCTCCTCTCGGCGAGCAGGAGTTCCGCAGTCGACGGGGGAGCGCTTCTGGGATCGATCTATCGCGTCCAGATGAGACGCGATAAATCGATCCCAGAAGATCGATCTCTACCCGCCGAATCAGGCGGGTAGTGTGGACCAGCCCTAAGATGGGTTCCCCAGCTCTGGTAGACACGTCTGTAGCCAGAGTCAATCATTTATGAGTACAGAAAGGGAACCCCTCTGCACAGTGGACTGGTGGATGGACCTGCAGACCTCGACTGACCTCATGCAGGTTTGCAAGTCCACATGTTCAGGGAATGTTGGTCAGCCAATAAACTGCTTTATTGTAGGTGGTATAGGGACTGGGGTTTGCCAGAGGGTGTTCATCAGCTCTAGCTGGGCTTCATTAATGAGAAGGGCAATTCTTTCCTAAAAGACTTTAAAGCCCTCTGGAGAAGGGAATATCCGACTCCAGGGTGATGGCTTTGTCCAAGGAAGAGGATGAAATATGGGGACAGGAGGGCACATCTAGGGGTTCCTCCATTAATTCCCTTTCCTCAATAGGATCCAGTACATCCAACCGAGGGATGGCGGAAAGAGCCTCTCTAGAGGTTTCCTGCATGGAGACTGAGTTCTCCTGTTGGACTCTAACTCCAATGGAGGTCTAGACTCCTTTGGAGCAGGCAAAGGCCTGTAGAGTCATGGAGGATACAGTACAGGAGCCTCTTTATAAGAGTACCAGTCCTGTTTATTCTGCCTCATGTCCCTTGGACAAGGTCTATGAAGTGAATGAAAAGACTTTGATGGGAATACAGGCCCCTCAGGCTCAGAGTCTGGCTCAGAGTCTGAGGAGATGTAGGACTCATCTGGAAAAGGAGGAGCATTCACCCTTGAGGTCTTGGGGGGGGAGGGGGGACACTGATATCAGGGAGACCATCTGGTCAGAAAAAGCTGAACGACGAGGTGATTGGAATGCCAAAGTCATAATTGGTGCCAGCGGTTGGCATAAGGTACTGTAGAGTACGTTGGCAGAATACCACACATCAACAGTGCTGACAGTGACCAAATCCAGGTTCAGCAACGGAGAGTCAGGTAACGGGACACAAAGGAGATCCCTTATGGAAAGGTAGGCTTATGGAGTTGAAAACACCAAAACAGCCAGGTGCTCTTCCAGCAAAGATGTAGGCATCAGTCTCAACAACCCAGAGGAGCCAGAGTTGACAGTGCCACCTTAGATGGAGCCAGTGAGCATCTGTGCTTATTCAAAGGCCTCAACTCAGCACCAGAGGACTTACTGGAAGCCTTGTTGTGCAGAGAAGATCAAAACATTGACTGTTTGTCCAAGTCAGAATGCTTGGATTGCTTTAAAGAGGCCATCAGGAAGGAGGAAAAGTGATGCTTCTCTCCAAATTTATGCTTCAAAGTTGAAGCTGCTGGACAAGCATTTCTCATAGTTTCAGAGTCCATCATCTTGTGATGGGGGCCTGGTTCTGAGGAGGGACACAGTCTCCTTCATGAGGTGAAATTTGAGGCAGAAATTCCTGTTTTTTAGTCCTAACAGAGGACTAAAGAAGGGAAGGAGGTACAAATAGGGCATCTATCCCTCACATGCCTCTCTCCAAGAGGAATTAAGCAGCTTCTGTGCCTATCCATGACAGGGATAATGGCCCTGCATGTGGCACACTGCTTAAAGGTTAGTGATTTTTAGCCCCAGACTACCTAAAATTATTACTAAGTATTCTAAGGGTAACTATACGAACGATATGCACTAAAGATTTAAAGCTGGAGAACCAAAGCAAAAACTATGAGGAGCTCCAGTTCTCACCATGGGCAGTGAGAAGGAGTTGAGAGGGAGGTGGCAGACACATTCCTTTTATGTTCTCGGCTCAGTGTAAGAGCAGGCATATGCACCACCTAGTGGTACTGCTGGTAAAAGTCTCCACTAGGTGCACATACACTTGAAGTGGAATGAATATGTGCACAGTCATTTCAAAGGAGAATGCAAATTTATAATCTGACAAGTGAAACTAGGGTTTCTGGGGTGAGCACTAAAAAGGGAACTCCAAACCCACCAATTCTGAAGGGGTTAAAGGTCAAGTAATTAATATGTAACTGAAGTATTACACTCAATTAAGAGCAGGATATATAAGACACAGAAATATAGTAAAGTTAATACTGATCATTTAATGTAGGCATGATTCACAATACTAGTTTAGCACTATACCAGAAGAAGTGGGCTACAAAAGTTTTAAATTTTTTCCTTTAACTGTATTGTGCAGAACTGGGAAACTTCTGATTTATTTTTTATGAAAGAATGTGTGGCTCAGTTTGTATTGTTACCTAGCAGGGATAAAAGGAACTTTCTTTCTCGTCCAGTGGGGAAGATGCAACATATGAGACCTTGAAAGTGGGGCAGTTTCAAAGAGTTTTGTATCTATAAAATGGTATGTGTATCTCTGTGAACTAGGGATTGTATTCTGGCTCAATAGGGGTGGGCTACAGAACTTCCTGCAGGAACTAAAATTCCTGGGTGAGAATTACCGCAAATCCTGCAACAGATAGACAACTGTGTATATTGTACCATTGTATACACTGGTTTTGAGTGGGCCGAAGAGAGCAAGAAAACCAAGAAGGAAAAATGATATAGAGTCATCCTGAACTTACTCAGAATAACAGTCACTTGATCCATGAACTGACAGACTTTAACCAAGAGGGCAAAACCCTGCTGGAAGGGTTTGAAGGACTATGAAACCTCCTAGGGGCTCCTCGTGGAAGATGGGTGACATGGTAAGCTTAGCATGCATACAGACCATTTATTGTTTTATGATAGGACAACAGCATTACAAAGAAAACCTAAGTAAATGTACTGTGCTTTGTGAAACCACTGGTAAATATTATCATGGCTCCTGGAAGAGAGGAGATCTGCAGGCGCTGGATTAAAGTCAGGCCTGCTGGGATAAGCACAGTGAATTGCTGGGGACTATAATCTAAAACTCTGATCCTGAGGCAGAAGAACACGGGTCCCCACCCACAGTGAGATGTGACAGCTAAAGGGTGCCCTTGAGGAGACCCTGGAGGGGACAGAGGTACAGTTAACCTGCAATTGTGATGTGTAACAGTGCCCATTAAGTGTGGTATTTCTCAACAAATATTTTCATTTGTTGCTTACTATGCAAATATTTCAAGCTATTTATGAAAAACTATGAATGTCAAAATGTGTGTTAAGGCATGAAATTCTTCTCCACCCGCAGCAGTGGCCTACTAAGCTTGCCAGGCCAAATTCTCTTTAGTTCTCAAATCATTTTTTAAAAGTCTGCCATAATTTCCTTGAACTTGGCAGTACTTCTAACCTATAATTAACCTAAAAAAACCTAAGTAGGCTCTTATGAAATATAATATGTTAAAGCATTTTTGATCTTTACTTTAATGACTAACCTCTTGTACATAGCAGAAATGACTGAAGCTGCAACTTTAAGATAAAATCCTCAGCACATTCCAGAAAACAGAATTGAATGTCACTGTATTTCGCAAGCTGTGTTTTTGACTGAATTCTTACATGCATTTTGGCACACAAGCATTTGAATTTATCTCTGAATAGCATGTTTTTGATGGCAGTAGTGTGAGCATTTATGTTCATGTGGCACTCCATAGCTTTCTCCCTGCCAGGGTCCAAATATTCACCACTGTGGCTAAAGCTGATGAATCAGCCAGAATTATCTGAACAGATTTATAGGAATCACAATGATTACAGGTTTTAGGAACTTCCATAAGTTAGTTGAACAAGAAAAGAGTTACAGATTATTATAATTTAGAGAAATAAGAAAAAGGGAAAATACATCTTTAATCTCTTATGGTGGTACAGGAAAGGGTTATTGTAAAGATGTTATTTATGTATTTGTAAAGAAAGTGGTGTTAGCATTCTATTGTGTAACTGTACCATCAACATCTTACACATATTTTTAATTCAAGCATACCTTAAAGTTCATCTCCTCCTACTTAGTTATTCTTAGGGCGTGTACAATATGCAAAGCTGATAATCATATGCTCTGCACTGTTTTTAAACTCATGTAAATGACACAATAAAATATAAAAGCAACATGGACACAGTGACACAAAACTTCAGAGAGGAGAGTTTAAAACAATGGGCGGTTCATTATTTTAAAAATCATATTTTGAAATTTAAAGCCAAAAGTTATCTGTGCTGCATCGTACAGCTTTTACCCCACTATTTAGTGTAAGTCACTAGCATCTAAAATATAAGCTCATAAAACACACTTTATGGAGAACAATGTACATCATTTATGAGGTGCAGCTGACGGTAAGGATTCTTAAGTTCACCTTCATATTGATTCAGAACATGCCCTTTATACTACATTTGCCTCCAAACTATTAAAAATGTGTGAGATCATTGCTTCATTAGGAATATGTTTTAAAAAAGTTAAGTAGTCAGATGAAATATGGCAAGCATACTCTCACTATACTATATTGGAGTATTATACTGGGAAGATGTCTGTGTGACTTGAAATTTTTATCCTAACCTATTTAAAACTGCTTCAACTAGTTTTCAGAAGTGTCTACAGCAAAATCTGGTTGCCCAGCAACATGCTTTAGACTCGGAGCATTATAGAATACCTGAGCAGAATTTAGTGCTGCTCAACATGCACAGAAACAAATAGTCAAAAATAATTCAGATGCAGAAGCTAATGCTCAGATGCAAATGAAGTATTACCTATTTAATATGAAGCAAACTTTTTAAAATCACCCTGCGATGAATGAATTACAGATCATTAATATCTACTGGTATGCTATCCTTCACACAGCACGTTTTGATTCTGACTATACTGGTATTCAGTAACATGGCTCTAGCTAGAATTTATAATTTGCACTGTTCAGCATGAAAAAAAAATCAAAGAAAATAATAAATAATTCAATGACATTCATCAAATTAGCCAACCCCCCCCCACTCCCCCCCCCACACTCTTCCCCCCCCCCCCCCCCCAAAAAAAAAACAACAACCAGAACTGAAGTAAAAGTGTTTTCCTGATTAGGACCATAATTTGGTTGAGTCAGACTAGTTTCCAGCAATGGTAGTTTGTATCCTGCCCTTTATATTATCTTCATTTTACATACAGTACCAGGTTTACCATGGCGCCAGGCCCAGAGTCAGAAGGGGCCCCGGCCAGCCCGATCCCCTGCCCCCACCCCTGCTCCATCCCCGCCCCTTCCCACCCATGCTCCACTCAGCCCCTTCCCCCCCTCCCAAGCCCGCTCCCGAGGGGGACTGCAGTAGAGGGCTGCTCCCGCCACACTGTGCCTCATTGCCCCAGCCCACCCTTCACTCTGGAGACTGCATCCCGCCCCCTGCACCTTGCCCCATGGGGGCCCAAAATATGTTTGGCACTGGGCCCAGAAAAAGTTAATCCGGCCCTGATTACATAACCTTCTTTTATGGGGGGCGGGGGGGAGAGGGGGAAGGGGAGAAATCAACAGGAAGAATGTTTAATTATTTTTGGCAGAAACACAAGAAATAATTATAATACAGCTAACAGAACTTGAACCTATCTTAAACCAAAGTCAAACAATCTATTGTAACTTTAATGGTAACATTCTTGATTATAACTGACAAGAGCACCACACTGACCTGTTTCCAGAGCAATGAAATAAAGTGTTCTTACCTAATTCATAGAGATGACCGCCTACGTTAACTAACGCAATAAAGTGAAGATCTACTTTTTCATCTATGCTTGGTGCCTGTGAGAAAACAAAAAGAGTACAGTATAATATTATGAACACCAATTTTTTTATGATACTAAAAATACAATCCCCCAGTATAGAAAGCATATGACCTATAAAAGGAGGGGACTGGTAGCAGAGAAGCCCTAAAAGCCAGGTTGGATTGATTTAAAGTGAAGTGATTTAAATCAACAATAAGGCAACTTTCATTTAAGTAGTTTATTTTATTTTTTTTTCATTTGTATTTTTTAGTTATTTTCCTAAAGATTGGTTACTGACCAATGAGAACCAACCTATCAGACATGTTGATATGCAACTAAATATAGCTTTTACACTAAATTTGGTGCTTTCTGCTAACCAGGAGGACATACTATATCTTACCACATTTATTTAAGCAATTATACAGTTTAACTTAAATATAAGAATCTGAATAAATGTATCTTCACACCACCAATATCAAGGTGATATTATTCCTGTTTTAAAGATGGGGAACTGAAGCACAGAGAGATTAAGGCCAAAGTTGTCATGTCCCCTAATTTTGACTTGAGTTTCCATTTTGAGATATCTAGGTGACTAAGCCCTAATTTTTCTAAGTATTTATTATTTTATATAGCACTTTATATGTTCAATGTACCAGTTCCCATTAACAAACTTAACGTGCTTTGTGTGCTCAGCACTTCTGCAAATCAGACTCCAGGGTCTCAAGCGGAGCACTCAGAAAGTTAGGTGTACACAATTCCTGACCACTTGTGAAAAATCTGGTTTCAGTGATATGCCTACCATCATACAAGAACTCTGTGCCAGAGGGACAGGCAGAACTCAGTTATCTGGGGGAACAATCAACTGCTTTATTCATGAGACCATCCTTCCTCTTCCTGCAATCCCTGTCCCATTCATGTCTAACTTCTGCAACAAATGGAGGCAGGGATCCTACAGACAACAGCCTTATTTATTATGTACACCTGATTCATTCCCTGAGCCCCGACCATCCTGTGTGATGAAAGAGGCAGAGGTCCTGTGGAAAATATATGTTTTTGTAATTAAAGACTGTTTCATAATGCATACTCAAAAGGGGGCTGAATTAAAGTTGCACAAGTAACTTTAATTCTGGCAATTCTTAATTGCTTACTTTTGAGGAATTGATTCTGCAACTTTAGTATTCTGTTAATGTAGTTTTGTTTTAAATGTAATATTATATTCTAGTCATTTTCTATTGGCTGTAGATTAAAATTATGTCTGAACAATTTTATTCCTTAAAACATGCAACTCTAGTTTCTTCGAGGCACTGGGAGTTGGGGGGGGGGGGGGGGGGGGACTATCTTCTCAAATTTCCCTCTGCTCCAAAGCCTCAAACTACTGCCACTATTACTGAATTCATTTCAAAGTCTGTAGGCATGTGGCAATTCTCCAAAAAGGGTCATATTTTTGGAATTTAATGTACCCATCATATATAAATCCACATCATATATCATTTAAAAGCTTATTTTATGTACATTTTGATTAAGTATGATGTGGAGCTGTCAGTTGGTGCCATAAGCCTGTGGAAAAGGTGAAGCGATAGTATCCAAAATTAAAAAATGTCATGTTCGTTTTTCTGGAACTGTGCAAAAAATGACAACTACACTTTTTATGGTTTCAGTTAATTTCAACACCTTAGTGTGGTATTTGTTGGTCAAAGCTACCGAACAACAATGTATTAAAATATTTTTATTGTTTTTGCATGGGCAAGATTCCCCCCCCCCCAAAATGAAGCTATTTGGCATGTGGCAAAAATGGCAAATGGCAAATATCAACTGTTTGCAGTATATTAACATGAAATGTTTTCACAACTTATATTCTTGTCAAAGTATCTCACAAGTGATAATAGTTTTCTATACTTTCAGTTGAAATTTGCTGATCAGATCAGATTCACACTGAAGACTGTGCACCAGTAGTTTGTACTGCACAGTGGGTAGATATAAATCTACGTGAATTCCTAACATAATGCTTCTCCATTTGTAAGCTTATGTATGTACTATGTACCATCTAGTCTGCCTGGTAACCTGTTTTAATTTCTAATTGCCTATGAATGCAGTACTAGCCTTTGAACTATTCTAGAAATGAGTTTTTTAGTGACACTTATGCACAGGTCAGTATTAGTGTTAGAGATGGCAATACACAGCTTCATGTTATGAATATGCAAAAGCTATGACAGAAAGAAGCGACATAAAAAGAAGTAGTGAAGACAAAGTCCACGCCTCTGCAATGAAGAGGGATAAAAGCATGTTATAGCTCTTACCAACCATGTCATCAACAATCTGACAAACTCATTAGACCCTGAATCACATGCAGAGGTGCTTATTGACATATTTACTGGACTGGATGTAGTAAATGTACAAGAGTCTCTACTGAAAATAGCAAATGTTGGTGAAGAACAAATGGAGAGATTTGTGAGAGGTGCGCTTGATTATGATGGGACATGTAGCTTTTTCAGCCCAGTCAAGAAATCTGGCATCAAAACATTTGCTAACATGGCCAAGACGACCAAATTTAAGTCTGGCAAGGGAGAGGAAGGACAATCACAGCAGCTATCCGTCCAGAAACTGTTTTCTGGAGAGCCCTTTCATTAGCAAAATCCAGAGATGATGTTTCAGTGTTGACCGTTATTAGTCACCCAATGGGACCTGTGCCTATGTCCCTCTTCCATGCTCATGAAACAATGAACAGAACAGACAAAGCTGAATTAGAGCAGCAGCTGGAGGCTTAAGCTGAAAGAATATATGAGCTAAGAGCATGCAACAAAGAAACGATAGTGTACATCATAGGTGCCATGGCTGTTATACAAATTATGGCTGGAGACAAATTCCATACATTCAGTGAATTGGCTGCTAAGTACTAGAGGCAAGTCCTAAAAGGATCTGACAAACCTAATTCTGTAACTGAAGTTTTTGAGAGGTATCACAACAGTAACTCTGAAAACTGATGAAAAAGACAGTGCTGGACAGGATCGGAAATTGGATGTAAGAAATGCCAGGTGATTGGTGGACTTCATGGAAAAAGTTTTTAAACGTGGCATCCAACAAGCAGTCACTTGTAAATTCCTCTGTGAATATATGGTTCAAAATGCACCTGAGAGCATAGGAGTACACACAGCACAAACACCCCTCTTGCTGGAGGTTTTCCAAAGGAAATTAGCAAAGTCCATCCCCAGTAGGGGTGCTGAAGAAGCCCAAGACTTATACAGTACTCAGGAGGAAGTGGACACAAGGATGATTCAGGGTCTCTTGGTGTCAAAGAAACCATAGTAGTTAGGTCACCCAACACTTATGCTGTTCACCTATTTCCAGAAATGGAACACAGAGATAACCTGTTGGATTGAAACAGGCACCAACACCAGCACAACTGACAAGCATTGCTTCATACCTGTGCATGCAATTTGTGACACACTCACTCCTGACTTCTGCAACATACTTCCTGCTGTACACACATTAACAGCATGTGACATGATGATCCCTATTTGGTACTGGGGGAAGGGGGGGAATCTGTGTTAAATGTTGTTAAAACAAAAGGAGCTTATTGCTTAGGAGATCTTGCCAAATTGGGAGAAAGTGATGGACAAACTGCAGTTTCTGCAGCAAGGAAATTGGTGGCAGCTCTGTATTATCAGAGCAAGAAAGAAAAGGAGATCCACAGGAACCTAAATTGCTTTGCACCTCAATCTCACCATCAAAAAGAACAAGTCACTAGCCCAACTCCAACCATGTGAGGCCAGTTTTTAAGGTCATATTAAAGGAACATCTTTTGGTAAACCAAGATTTGGATGTCTTTCCACACAGGTAAACCAGATATTGGATCACCATTGCAACAGGGATGGAAAAATGTGGGTGACTAATTACTTCCTGTATTCTTCAAGGGCCCAATGGTATCTGAGCTTCTACAACACCTTATTAATGCCTGTACCAGTAGGGGACACTGAACAATCAATTGGGTCTGTAGTTAGAACTATATTCCCTGCACAGAACTGTGTACATGCAACGCAATGAAAACTATGGTAATCCAGGTACTTTCAACACAGATCAAATGATGAACAAGATGACAACAATGTTCACAAGAAATGTCACCAGCGCTATTACCTTTCAAGGATACCTGTATAAGTGATGAGAGGTGATACAACTGCTCTCTCTATATACACATTGGAGGGGAAAATAACAGGGATGGTGAATAACTATTTAAGCTAAAGGGCAATGTTGGCACAAGAACAAATGGATATAAACTGGTCATGAACAAATTCAGGCTGGAAATTAGAAGTAAATGCTAACCATCAGAGGGGTGAGGTTCTGGAACAGTCTCCCAATAGGAGTTGTGGGGGCAAACAGTTTAATTAGTTGTAAGAGAGCCGGACAAATTTATAAGTGCAATTGTATGACGGGGATTGGTACTCTCTTCTGGTTTGTGTCTTATGTTCCTAAAGCTCATGCTTCAGGAATTCAGCTGGCCACCAGCAAGGGTGAGGAAGGGATTTCCCCCACAATGTGCTCTAGGAGTTTATTTTTTTAATCTCCTTCCTCTGAAGCATCAGGGATGGCCAGGGCTTGAGATAGGACATTGGTGGGGTGGACCAGGGCTCTGAGGTGGCAACAAACAATCTCTCTCAGGTGGTTGGCTGGCTAGTTCTTGCTCACATACTCAGAGTCTGACTGACTGCTGTATGTGGGGTCAGGAAGGAACTGTCCCCCATATCAGATTGGCAGTGACCTTGGGCAGTTTTCGCCTTCTTCTGCAGCATGTGCGTGTGGGTCATTTGCCAGGATTATCAGCCTATATCTCACTTAATAATTTCCCAGCCAAGACAGGGGCCGCAAGCACTAGTGCACCTTGGTGCCGTCTCTTCTTTGCCTATGGTCCATAATAGTTTAGTCTCCGGAGGGTTGTAATACTTTGGTCTTATTTCAGTTGTTGGGTTTAGTGTGTGGATGCTGGGCGGTGTTGGTGGCCTGTGATAAACAGGAGGTCAGATCAGATGATCTAATGGTGGCTTC